GAGCGCGCGAGGCGACGGGGCCGGGCCCGCGGCCGCCCCGCCCCCGCCCCCGGCAAGCTGCCGCTGCCCGCCTCGGCGGGGCCGCAGCCCTTCCCCGTCTACGACTCCAGCAGCAGCAGCAGCAGCAGCAGCAGCGAGGAGGAGGAGGAGGGAGGGGGCGGGACGCCGGGTGAGGCCTGCGGGCGGGAGGCTGCAAGGGCGGGGTGGATGTGGGCTGACGGGTGCTGCAGCTCTGGGGGGCCTGCTTGCTTCTCTGCGTCCGAGCCGCCCTCCCGAGCGGCGGCGTGGCGCCGATGGCGGTGTTGCTCACTGGCTCTTGTGTCCACGCTGCTGGCGCCGCCGCCGCCGCCGACGTCTCCTTCGTTCGCCCTCTCCCCGCCCGGCTGCTGCCCACGTCGCAGGCTCGGGTCGCAGCAGCGAGGAGGGCGAGGTCAGCGTGGTGCCAGCGCCAGAGGGAGACATGCTGCTGGTCAGCACCGGCCCAGGCGGCGGGAGCGGCGGCGGCAGCGGGTCGCCACCGTCGCTGCCGCCGCTGGGCAGCGACGATGCTGACATGGCAGACGATGCTGTGATGCTGGAGTATGATGCAGCTGAGCAGCTCATGTCTCTGGCCCAGCTGTCGCTGGAGGAGGGAGGAGAGGCTGGCAGGGAGGCGGCGGCGGCGGTGGGCGCGGATGTCGCCGACGCCCCAGCGGCGGCGGAGGACGGGCCAGGGCTGGACGGGGAGGCGTCTGGCGCGCAGGGGAAGCAGCAGCAGCAGCAGCAGCAGCAGCAGCAGCAGCAGCAGCAGCCCGAGGCGGCGGCAGAGGAAACCAGCACACCTGGCCAGAGGCCACCGCATCCTTCCATGCACCCTCAGCATATGTTGTTTGTTGTGCATGAGCGGCTGCGCCAGGGAGCGCCGCCACCTGACCACAATTAATTGCGTGCAGCACTATGTTTTACAGCAGAGCATGCCATGTGAAAAGATCCTGCACTGGTGATCGGTGCACTGCAGGTCTGGCAGGTCTGCCCGCTCCACTGATCATGCCCAGCCACCGCGGCTCCCTCTTGCCGCCCCGCCACCATGGTTCATTCCTGGCACCACACCGTGTATGCAACAACTAGGCTCCTATCAGTGCAACACCCACCCATGAACCCCGCTTCCAACACCAGTCGCTTGCGGGTGTCTCCCGCAGCTAGCACCTACTTGAGGAGTGTATGACACATTGGGGGAGGGTAGCGCCGCGCAGCCGTTGGCTCCAGTGGCGGGCCGCCCACATGCATGGCAGCCACCGCCTGCTACGGCCCTGCCTCTTGCCACCAGCCATTTTTGTGCCTCTCATTACCCTGACACCGCACCTTTAGACATCTACCAATCGGCCAACTCGTTTCGCAGTTTGTTAGGCGGCGGGGCAGGCAGGAATCAGGATTGATTCTTGCCGCCGACGTGCCAGTGCCTGCCCTTCCTCTCTGCAGCTTGCGGTGAACAGAGGCAAGCTTGCAACTCCGCAAACAATCGCAATGAACCTTAGTGGAATGGAGAATTCAACACAAGTGAACATGTTCAAAGTAGCAAGAAATTGTATAAAAATCGTGGTGGCAAGGGCCTGCCCCGAGGCAGGATGACCATCGCTTCCAACGGGCGCATCCCCAGCGGCCAGTGCGTAACAGAAAGGGACAGCACCGGCTGACCGCAGACGCACGGGGCCTGTGCTTTGTGAGAAATGGGTGGCCAAAGAAGCTTTGAAAAAGTCGGTATGGTTGGAAGTGGCCTGCCACGTTGCGCAAGGTAAGGTAGGGCAAAACACGGGTGTCGTCTTGATTGCAGGAGGCAGAACTGTTGGGCAGCAGCATGCCATACTCCAGGGTGAAAAAGAATCAAGGGTTGCTGTGTTTATTCTGTGTAGGGGTGCAAGCGTCAGCTTGCAAGCGGTCTCCCGCCGTAGAGGCCGGTGGCAGTCAGCCGCTGCTAGCGCTGGCCGAGAACAGCGGCCCGCCGCCGCCCGCCGCGGCTGCGGCCATGGCCGGCCGCGCCAGCGCACGCGCCAGCGCCGCCCTGTACGAGGGTGCCAGCACGCCCTTGACGGGCGGCTGCAGGGTAGAGAACAGGGCGACATCCACATCCAGAAGGCCACCGGCGGCACCCAGCGAGGGGTTGATGGGCTGGGAGATGGTCACACGGGCATAGCCTGCAAGTGGGCGGCAGGAGCAGCGCGTAGCATAGGGTCACCGAATGGGCACAGTGGAAGACGGGTGCCATGTGGTATGGGCGCAGCCGGTGTGTGGCTGCCTGAACCAAGCCCTGGAAGTGCAGCGCAGCCTGAAATCCACCCCACCCCACCCCGCGCGCCCTCCTGCCAGGATTGCCCGCCCCAGCGACCCACCCACCCACCTGCATCCACCACCACCAGGCCCGGCGTGTTCCTTGCGACACTGGGCCGGGTGTAGGTGGCCTTCACGCCTGCCCGCAGGCGGGCGAGCCCCACCGGGGCATTCTGCCCGTTGTAGGTGGGCTCCAGCTTCCACACCCGCGCGCCGCCCACCAAGGTGCCGGTGATGTTGGCTTGCACCGTGTTGCCGCCGGCCTCCACAAGCATCGACCTCATGACCGTGCCGCGCCCAGAAGTGCTCATCTGCAGCCGCGCAGCGGGGGGCAGCGCGAAGGAGACGCGGGTTTGTGGTGGTCGTGTGCACGGCGCTGTGCCCTTGGCAGTCCCTGCCTGGCTGCCGCTTGCACCACCTTCCCATGGCCACCCACCAAGGCGCTCAGCTTGAAGCCCTGGAGCT